CCATTGTGACCTGCCCTGTCGCCGCAGGCCTCTGCCCCAGTCCGCTCTCGCACCCAGGGTGGGCATCCCTGGCCCCGAGGCCTGGCCGTGCTTCCAGAAGGCAACCAGGAGGCACCGTCTGGGGGCTCCCGTGGCAGCAGCTGTACTGTCGCTAAGCGGGGCCAGTGTGGGCCAGCCCCTGGAGGGGGCCAGCCCCTCGAGCTCCGCAGAGGAGCCCAGCCAGGACCATGAAGGGCGTGACCTGGCGGGTGTCGTGCTGCGTTCCTGCTGCGGCGGCTGCTAGGATATTTCGACATCCGTGTCGTTACTTGCTCACTGCACCCCTGTGCTTCCCTTCACCAAAGCTCTCTGGGGGCGTCCAGCGGTTCCCCACCCATGGCCTGCCCCCACCGCACGCTGCTGGACGGCCACGCTTGGGCCCCAGGGGCCTGCCCTGAGCACTCTTGGCCGGGGAAGGAGCTGCTGAGGTTGGCTGGGCCCCAACAGTGGCCAGCCGCTGTTGAGCGTTTCCTGCCGTGGCAGATGGTCTTCTCCTCGCTGCGGAGGCCCTGTGGACAGGGAGCGGCTCCTGCCTTGGGAGCACTGGCTTTTCCCCCCAGAGCGGCACTGTGGAGGTGCAGGGGGCTGCGTGGGGGCTCCAGTGAGGCGCCTCGGGGCGCACCCTCTTTTCCGACCCACATCCTCGTCCTGGAGGTGGTTGATGGGACTTGGCGGGCACAGCCTGGTGAAGGGGGCCTTTGAGCAGGAAGTCCTTCTGGTCTTCAGTCCCCTTCGTCAACCTGGTGCCCTCGCGCTGTGCTGGAGGATGCTGGGAGCCGTAGCCCAGCACAGCGGATGGGTCCCAGGCTGGGAAAGGCTGCTTCTAAGGGTCCATGGACGAGCCTTCCCTAAAAGTGTGGTTTTTAGCTTTTGTAGTCCAGTGCAGCATCTGCCAGACCTTGTGGTGGGGGAAGAGGCAGAGAAGAGTCTGCTTCGCCTTTTCTTTCAAAGGGTTGCTTTGGAGCATGGGCCTGATTTTTGGCCTGGCTGCTGCATTTGAAGCTAATGTCCTACAGCTGCAGTGCTGAGGTCACAGGGCACGGATGATGTTCCAGCCTGCAGGCGCTAGAGAGGAAATCGTTCATCTTTCAATAGCAGCGGACGCTGGCGGCGCACGAGATCCATCACCCTTCGAATCATAGAATCATAAATAGTAGAGTTGGAAGGGTGACAAAGGCCATCTGGTCCCACCCCCTGCCGTTGCAGGACACCAGCTGACACCGTCTCACTCAGAGGGCTGCCTAGTTTCTTTCTGGATGCCTCCAGTGCTGGAGAGCCCCCCACCTCTCCGGGCAGCCGGTCCCACTGCCCCATTGCTCTGACAGGGAGGAAGCATTTCCCGATGTCCAGCCTGAACCTGGGTTGTCGCAGCTTGACTTGATTATTCCGTGTCCTGCAGTCTGGCATCAGCCAGAAGAGATCTTGAGCTTCCTCTTTGGGACAGCCTTTGTGGTCCTTATGGAGGGATCCCATGTCCCCCCTCAGTCTTCTCTTCCCAAGGCTGAACATGCCCAGTTCTCTCCGTCCCTCCCCACAGGGCAGTGTCTCCAAGCCCTGCATCATTTCGGTTGCCCTCTGCTGAACCCTTTCTAATTTAGCTGCATCTTCCTGAAATCTTGGTGCCCAGAACTGGGCACAGGATTCCAGGTGAGGTCTGTCCAGTGGGGAGTATAGAGGAACTACTACTTTTCGTGATTTGGAAGTAATACTTCTGTTAATGCATCCCAAAATAGCATTTGCCCTTTTGGCGGCTGCATCGCATTGTTGGCTCATATTTAGCCTGTTGCCCACAATGACTCCGAGGTCTTTTTCTTTTTCAGTTCTCTTGAGCCACATATTCCCCATCTCATATTGATGCATTTGGTTTCTTTTTCCTAGGTGGAGGACTTGGCACTTGTCCTTACTGAATCTCATTTTATTGCTTTCAGCTCAACGTTCAAGTTTTTCAAGTTTCTGGATCTTCGTTCTGTCTTCCAGGGTGTTTGCTTTTCCACCCAGTTTTGTATCATCTGCAAATATGATTATCTTTCCTTGTACTTCCTCATCCAAATCATTAATAAGATGCTGAAGAGCACTGGGCCCAGGACTGCACCCTGCAGCACCCCACTGGTTACCTCCATCCAATTTGAGGAGGTGCCATTGATGAGCGCTCCTTGTGTCCGATTTAGCAGCCCATTTTGGATCCACGGAATAGTCGCCCTCCTGGTCGGGAGGACTGGCCAAGTGTTGCGCTGGGACTGTGCCTCACCCGTGGGGCACACCCCCACAGGACGCCCCGTGCCACACATACGTGGCCAGCCTCTGCTCTGTGTGGCACGTCTCCCCCGTGGCTTGCAGTCACGCCAGCCAGCTGGGGCTCTGCTTCTTGCCTCTGCCTCTGCCTCTGGGCAGTCCTTCAGGGTGTCCCAGCAGGAGCCAGGGAGGTGGGAGAGGGGTGGTCGGTGTGCACGAGGGCCCTGGGGCCAGGGCTGTGCTGCCCGTGGCTGAGAAGCATCCAGGGGCCTGCCTTGCATCTGCCTGCCCTGTGGGGCTGCTTTGCCGCGTGGAGCGCTGGCGCTTTCAGATCCTGCTTAGCTTGCCCTTTTCGGCTGGGGGCAGGGAAGCCGAACGGCGCAGCCCCGCACGGCAAAGCCGCCCTGCTTTCCTCGTCCCTTGCTTTGATGTGGCTTTGTTTGTACGGCCAGAAAGCACCGGAAGTGCTGCGCTGGGCCGGGAGGGATGCTGCTGCCAGCGGGTCCCACGCAAGCGTCCCGGCCCATGGCAGGTGCGCCACTGTGCACCTGTGCCAGGACTGCTGGTGTGGCAGGAGAGGGGGCAGGCGGCCTGCCTGGGAGGCTGGCAGAGCAGCTCCTCTGCTTCGAACAGCTCCGTAGGCTGATCAGCACGGTGCCCTGTTGTGCGAGTCCGTCTTCCGAAGGACGTGGCTTGCTTTTGTCAAGGGCTCTGCTAGCTGAGGAGCAAGAGGCCCAGCTAACAGAGTATGTGGATCTTTCCGGGCCTGAGTATTTGTCACCAAATACTCCTTGCGGGTTTCTTAGCTCTGCTTGTCACCCTTGAGGACAGAAGCTTGCTTTGGAAGGTTTGTGGGGGGAATGGTTGTGATTTCCGGGTGCTGCACCTCTTGTCGGGTCTCATTGGCACTGCCGGTGGGGACCGGTAGAACTCGCCTGGCTCTGTCTGGATGGCTCTCCAGGCCTTTTCCAGCTCTCTCCCGGGTTTGTCCGGGCTGCTGGCTTGCTGGTGCCGGAGCGTAAGCGAGCAAGCGCGCCTGTGCCGTGCTGCTCCGCAAAGGTGGACGTGTCTGTGCACTCCAAGGAGGAGCCTGTTTCCGCCCCTTCCGCGCGCTCCTCCAGTGAGCTGCCTGCCCCGAGGCCCCCCACGTCCTGCCAGACTGCCCTGGTTGTGCTCAAGGCGGGAGTGGCGCTGGGGAGGGGCAGGCTGGCCGCGGCGTGTGGCCACCCAGTCTCTTGCGCAAATGCACATGGAGCTTTTGGCTTTCCTCCCCAGCTGTTGCTGCCGCTTGCATGCGGAGCCTCTCCTTGCCCGGCTCCTCCCAGCCCGGGCCCCGGTCTTCCTGGCGTGGTCCTTGCGGGCTCGGGGGATCTGAGTTGCTCCCCCGTGCCTGGGGGAGGGCCTGGGCCAGGCTGTGCGGCGGTGCAGCCTGCTTGCCTGGCCCAGCCCAGCCCAGCCCACGGCCCTGTTCAGTCATGACTGCACTGCGATGGCGGCTGCTCGCTTCCCCAGAGGTGCTTCCCACGACTGGCACCCGCTGGGTTCAGTCACAGGGGAGCCCGTGTGAGAAGCAGAGTCCTTCCTCCGCACCCAAGAGGAGCCTCGAGGAGTGTGCGGCGCCGTGTTGATCGGAACCGCGCTGGACCGACTTTCCAAGTGTGCGGCTTTTACTTTCGCTAACCAGGCACTGATCTGAGAGCACCCTCTGGCCTGTCATGCCCATGTGACGTGCCCATGTGCAGAGGAAAGGAGACAGACGGGGCTTTTCATGTGGTTCTCCATTCTGAGCATTTTGTTGTTGCGCTCAGAGAAGCCGCACGCTGAGAACACGCGCACCGGCCCTGGGGCAGGGGCCCGTCTGCGTTCATGGCAGAGGGGCATGGCCTTTCCCTGAGCCCCCATCGCCAAGATCCGTGGGCTGTGCCCCACCTCAGCCTGACTCATCCCATTCTTTTGAACTGGTCTACTCTAGGAGGACTGTCGTTCGATGCCACCCCTGCAGCTGCTCTGCTGCTGCAGCTCCCTGTTCAGACACCGACTTCCAGGTCTCTTCCCCGCTTTGGTGCCCCCCAGATGTGCTAAGGTGGCAGCTCCTATTTTCTCCAGCTGGTGTGACCCCTGGGAGTTGGAGTCCCATCCATCCGGAGGGCACCGCGCTGGGTGTGGAGCATGGCAAGTGTGGCCGTGCCTGCTGAGCCTCAGCTCTGGTGCTGAGGGGATTCGTAGCCAGAATCTGACCCTGGGTGCTTTGAAAGGCCCTGCACTCCTTTCGCTTATGGAGCGTTAGAATCACTGTGAGCTTATTTCCGCTTCTGTTCTTAGAGGAAAGCAGGTGTGAGTCAAGTTCTTTTTGTCTAGTGACTGACTGGCTTGGCTTTTGCGAAGGAAGAAATCTGCAGATTCCTTTGGGAGAGCTGAAGAGGAGCTGGGGCCCACGAGAACCGTCATACGGGCCGCGGCGTCAGCCCAAGAGGGCCGGGTGGAGGCACTCGGGGCCGGGCCTCGCGGAGTCTCCGGGCTGCGGAGAGTGAGCCCACAGGCCCACCGCAGTGCCGGCCAGTGGGCGGATAGCGGCGTGGAGGAGGCATCTTCCCCGCCACGCGTGACCGGGCCACGCAGTAGCATGTAACACAGAAGGGCCCGGCCTCATCCTCGCACCCTCCTGTGTCGCTTGGCTCCCCCATCCGCTGGCTGTGCCTCGGCCTGAAAGGTCTTCCTTTTTTTGACAGTCCGCCGGTTCCTTCAGGCTGGCCTCAGCCCCAGTTTGTGCAACGAAGACGGCCTCACGGCACTGCACCAGGTGAGCCACCCGCCCGCTTTCGGACGCTTCGCTGGGCTCTTGTCGCCCGGGTCCTTGTCGCCCCTGCCTGGCACCATCCGCCTCTCCCCCCTTCCCCCTCCCCCTCCGCCCCAGCCTGCTTTTCCATCCTTGCAGCACCACTGAGGGCGGGAGCCCACAGAGCAACGGGGGGTGTAGAATCGTCGAGCTGGAAGGGACCCTGGGGCAGCCCAGGGTGACCGCCCACCGCTGCGCCTCCCTCTGAGAGAGCCGCTGACGCATGCCGCCTCGCCTCCTGGCGGTCCGTTCGGCCGGCATGCTCGGCACCCCCTGAGGTGGCCCCGCAGCCGTTGGGTTGGGCTCGGCCCCCTGGCTCTGGGGCGCCGGCCGTGCGATGCTCGTGCCCCTGCTCAGCGCCTCAGTGGGCCAGCGCCAGGCCTCTGCTGCGCACTCGTCCCCTGCCGGCCCACTGCGCGGATGGTGCACGAGCAGCCACGCTGCGTGTGGGAGGGGCAGGGCATTCGCAGAGCCCGTGAGCAGGGCCTGCCGGGCTTTCCTGGGAGCAGCTCCGGCTTCAGCGGGCCAGTCCCACGGGGGACTCGGTGGCGCTTCCTTCCCCGGTCCCTGCGAAGCTAAGCTGGGAAAGGGCTGCATGGGCCTGGACGCTGGCCAGGCCAAGGCGGGTGTAGCGAGGCCGAGAGACCTCCTTGAAAGGTGGGGAGGGAGCCTCTCTGCGCCCGGTATCAGGCCCCTAAGCTGCAGATCCTGGTTTGAAGGATTCCCCCTCCGGTGGCTGCTTTCCTCCTGCACAGCATGTCCCAAAGCATCCCCCCCGACTCGCTTCCCCTGCCGGTTGACGCGCCCCCTGTTCCCCGGTCAACTCCCCATTGGCTCTCCCCCACCGCCCATCTCACCTGGCTGGTGCAGGCTCCCCGGTAGAGCCCCGGTGTGTCTCTTGCGGGTGCTGCCGGGCGCTTAGGCTCGACGGGGTGGGATTGAGCAGGAGGGTCCTGAGCAGGTCCTCACTGTTCAAACCGGGCATGCAGGTGGGTGGGAAGCCAAGGCGGGGTGGAAGGCTCGATGTCCCCTCCGCGGGGGGTGGGGGGGAAGGCTCCTCCTGGCCACTGCAGCCTTCAGCCCGCGAGGGAAAGCCCCGAACGGCTACCCCGCGTGCGGCTCGCCTGGGCGCCCCGGGCTGGGGCCCTCTGAAGCCCGTCCCTCGCACCGGCGCCACGCTGTCACCATTCCCGCCTCTTCCAGTGCTGCATCGACGATTTCGTGGACATTGTCGAGCTGCTGCTGGAGGCCGGCGCCGACGTCAACGCCTGCGATAGCGAGCACTGGACGCCCCTGCACGCCGCGGCCACCTGCGGGCACCTGCACCTGGTGGAGCTGCTCATCAAACGGTAAGGGGGCAGCCCTGCGGGCCTCGGGGCGCCAGGGGCTGGGGGGGCCCTGCTTGTGAGTCCCCACGGGGGCCCTGGCTGCCCACGCGCGCAATCCAGCGTGCTGGCTGGGGACGGGGGAGCTTGCCGGCCGGGCCGTACACCAGGCCTGTGTGAACGGTGGCCGGGACAGCATTCCGTGGCCAAAGAAGCCGGTCCGTGGGCAAGGGAACGGACGCGTGACTGGAGCTTGCTTGTGGTGCCCAGTGCAGCCTGGGGAGACGCAGTCCTGCGCCCAAACCCCTGCGGACCCCCAAGCCTGGCCGGGGGGAGTCCTACACTGGGCACGCCGCCTGCTCGGGGCGGGGAGGGTGGGGGCGGCCCCTGCCCCGTCTGAGACCGCGCCGTCGTCGGAGCAGAGAGGGCGGTCTGACGTCAAGCGAGCCCGCCGGGAGGGGCAGCGGTGCCCGTCCAGGGTCCGGGCAGGGCTTCTCCGGCCCGCCCGGTGATGCTGCGGAGGCCCCCACATGCAGCACCACCTCCGCCACACAGCCGTGGCCCTTCCCCTCGGGGCCCGTGCCCGGCTGGAGCGCGTGCCGTGTGCCGGGGCTCGCTCGGGGGCGGGGCGGGGGTGGGTCCAAGCCGAGGGCGGGCAGGGCCTCTGGGGAGCGCGGGGGCAGGCCTGGGGCGTGGGGGGTGCGCTGGTGCTGCAGCCATGAGCCCGGGCTGTGGTGGCGGCAGGGGGAGGGCGCCGTGCGGGTCGCAGGCTCCGGGCTGCTTTTGGCCGGTGGTTCGTGCGCCTGCAGCTGTCCCCGGGTGGAGGGGAGTTCGGGCTGCAGCTCTTTTCTCTCAGACGCCAGGCGGCTCCGGGCAGAGGATGCCCCTAGCCACAAACCGCTCGAGTGCCCCCCTTTGCTCCGTGGGAGGCAAGGCGCCCCCCCTCGGTGGCACCATTCGCAGCACGCGTGCCTCACCTGGAATTGAGGTCGTGCTCATGGGCTCCCGTGTAACTGCCCTGGATCCAGCTTGTAGGGTTGTAAATATTTAACGGGGCTTACTGTTGATGGAGTAACTCTATCGTTGGCCCTGCCGGCCGCCTGCAGGGCTCTCCTGTCAGGACAGCCTCAGCCCTGCCCATGGGGGCGCTTTTGGAGAGGGCTCAGGACCCGGCTGGGGAGGGAAGGGCAGGCCAGGCCAGGCCAGGCCAGGCGAGGCGAGGAAAGAGCGAGGCGGCTGAAGCGCCGGCCCTCCAGCCGGGGGCTCCAGGATGGCATGGGGCACAGTCCCATCCCCCGGCCCGTGGGAAGCCCAGCAGGTGGGCGCTGGCCCCGATCCAGCGGTCCCCACCCTGGTTGGGCACTCGGGCTTGCCTCAAACGGTGCCTGCTCCCCGTGCGGCGTGTCCTTGGTGGATTGTTCTGACTGCCACGGGGTGGTCCCCCTCCGTGTTGGAGCTGCCCTCAGGGTCTGTCTCCCAATGCTCCTCACACATGAAGCAGCCCGGCCCCCTCTCGCATCCGCTCGCCTCGAGGCTGCCGCGCCCCACAGCTGTGGGCTGGGCCGGGAGGGGCCAAGGGAGGCGGGCCGGGTCCGGGGTGCCGGGGACCGGGTACTGTTTCAGCCGCTGCCCCGATGAGTGAGAGGTGGCAGGGGGGTGAAACTCAACCTGCAGGGCTCGCGGAGAGTGCCCACGGAGCCTGCTTTCCGAGTGCCACGAGCTGCTCCAGAGCAAAAATAACTCCCGGTATCTGTTTCACTTGGCCCCAGCAGCGCGAGGCGGGGGCTGGGCGCAGCGGGGCTGGGGGGGGGCACTCGGCCCGCTCACAGCTTCTCCCTGCCTTTCTCCCCCAGAGGCGCCAACCTGCTCGCCGTCAACTCGGATGGGAACATGCCGTACGACCTCTGTGAGGACGAGGCGACGCTGGACCACATTGAGACCGCCATGGCCGATCAAGGTGAGTCTCCTGCTCGCTCGCTCGCTCGCTCGCTCGCCCGGGCCACGGCTCTCCTTGCCCGGGCGGGCCACCGGCCTGGTTTGCTGCCCCGGGCCTGGAGGCAGGCTGGGGAGCTGCGAGCCCCCGCCCCAGCCCTTTCCACTGCCTTCTGGGGGGTGCTTTCTGCACAGGATGATAGGACAGGCAGGGCTGAGGCCCACCACCCAAAGTCGTCAGCTCAGCTCCCCCCGCCCCAGTGATTGCCTGTTTTCTCTGTGGCCTGAGCCGCAAATCTTCTCGCAGCCTGGTTGGAGACTCCCCAGTTCCAAGGGACGGAAGCAAGGGGGAGCCGAAGGGCCTCTGTTGATCCGCAGTGGCCCCCCGGATGTGGCTGGGGAGCCCCAGAGCGGCTCGTGGGCAGCCAGCCACCCTCCCAGCAACTCAGCTGCACTCTGCGCATGTGGGGGCAGGCCAGAGAAGCGAGAGCGGGCATTGTGCACTTTGGCTGTGTTTTCCTGAAATCTGAAAAGTGCTTTGCTTCCTGAGGTGTCCGGTGAAGGCGTCTCCATGAGGCTGATCTGCTCTGCCCCGGAGTCGAGCGAGGCCTCCAGCCCCAAGCGCTCTCCTCGGGCTGGAGGCTGTTCCGCTGGGCTTCACTCACGGCTCGCCCGCTTCTTCTCACACCTGTGCAGAATCTGGCAGGTAGAAGGAGCCCGTGGCTCATCCCCCCGAAAGCCCACCCGGACCTTCGGCTTCCCCCTCCCGGCCGCTCACCCTTCCACGGGTCAGCACACAGGCAAAGGAAACCCCTCGAGGCGAATGAGGTCATGCAGCACAAGAAAGGGAAGCCGCCGTGCGCCCGCCGTGGGGACCACACGGCCCCCCACAGCAGGCCCCCCACAGCAGCCTCCGCCACGGTTGCGCCGCTCTGCCGAGAGCCACAGCCTCCGTGCCCCCCCGCTTGATCCATGAAGCACAGGCACCGCTCGGGGGGCGGGGGGGGCGAGCAGGGCCGCCATGGGTCTGTGGGCCGCATCTCAGCCCATGGGTCCGTGGGCCACATCTGTGGGCCCCTCCTGCCTCCCCCTGCCCCCCACGCGGAGTGCCGCGTCTGCCGGTGTGCCGCGTGGCTCTGCCACTTTCCTGCCAGGGCAGGGCAGGGCAGGGCAGGGCAGCGAGGGGCTCGGCAGGGTGCTGCTTGAGTGTGGCTTCCCGGCAGCCCATCGCCAGGGATTCCCCCGGACTGCAGAGAGGCCCCGAGGCTCCTCCCAGGTGTCCTCTCCCCTGCAGGCTGGAGCTCCCCGAGCCAGACTGGAAGCAGCTCCACTGGGGTCTGATCCCGGCAAAAGGGGGGCTTTGTTGCCCCGTCTGCCTGCCCGGTGCACCCAGGCACGTCCCCTTCACCCGGTCCCTGCCTCCCCTCCCCTCCCCTCCCCTCCCCTCCCCCCGCAGGGATAACTCAGGAGACGATCGAGGAGGCCCGCTCGGCCGTGGAGCGTGCGATGGTGGACGACATCCACCGGCTGGTGAAGGAGGGGGTGGACCTGAACACGCCGCTGGACCACAGGGCCACCCTAGTGAGATGCCTCTCGCATGCCCCCCCCCGGTGCTGACCCCCTCTCCCCCCACCCAGTCCCCAGGAGGGGGCCTGGGCTTTCTGCCAGTGTCGTGGGAGGCCCTGGGGGGCCGGGGGGCCGTGGCTCGGTGGCAGTGCCCCTGCCAGGAAGGAATCCCGCCTGCAGCCCCGGGGAGCCAGGCTGAGTTGCCGAGGACCACCGCACCCGCGCAGGGGGTGCTGCAGCGCCCTCCCAGCCCGGGCCCTTCCTCGTGCAGCCTGCATCCCGTCTCTCCGTGGAGACCGTGCCCCGGGAGTCGGGAGTGCCGGTCCCTCGGGAAGTGCCTGGCCCACGGGGTGGATCTGCCCGAGCGGTGCCTGGGCGGCCCCGGCCTTGCCACGGGGCCAGCCCCCCGTGCTGCTTGCGGAGCGGCCGCTCCAGGGCTCTCACTGCCTCCGTGCCCACAGCTGCACATCGCCTCGGCCAACGGCTACCTGGAGGCCGCGGAGCTGCTGCTGGAGCACAAGGCCAGCATGAGCGCCAAGGACAGCGACGGCTGGCAGCCCCTCCACGCGGCCGCTTGCTGGGGCCAGGTGAGTGCGGCGCACGGTGTCACGCCATGGGGAGGCCGCCCCCTTGTGGCCAGGCCCGCCCCTGCACCCGCTTCACGGACCTGACCGGCTGGCACGGTTGTAATCCCATTAAGGGGAGCCTTCTGCTAACCCGATAAGCGGAGGACTTCCAGGAATGCAGGCAGTGGGCCAGCTGCCCGGCCCCGGGGCTCCCGGCTGCATGGAGGGACGCAAAGCCAGTCCCCTGAAGGGCAGGAAGCGGGGCGGCCCCCGTGGTTCACGGGCAGGTACAGAGGAAGTCCCCCGCTTCCCAGTCTCCGAACGGGGAGGGGCAATTCCAGGCGTGAGGCTGCCAGGCGCAAATCTGGGCGCAGGGCCAGGAAAGCTGTTGCCATCCTAAGTGGGCCGAAGGTGGGCTTGGCCCCTAAGGTGGGGGGGCAGCTCAGAACTGGAGGGGGGCAGGAAGGAAAGGGAGCCGTGTCCCACCTTGGTTGGTAAGTACATGTGGCCAGGGAGTGGGAATTGCTGGTGGCCCCCCCGCCCCGTTGCTTTTGGAGCAAATGGGCCGGCAGTTTGTCGAGGGCTCTGCAGGCACGGGGCGTCCTGTCCCGTGCCGGGCCACTGCCTCCCCCCGTGGGGGCCCGGCTGCGGCTGGGAGCAGCCCCCTGGGGGCGCAGCATGGGGTGGCCCCAGGGCTCTCGCGGCCAGGCTCTTGCTCTGCTCCCTTGGCAGCTGGTCACTCGGGGCCTTCCAGGCCAGCTCGCCCGTCTCGAGGCCGCCCCTGCCGGGAGTCAGTTGTAACTTGGGTGGCCTGACTCTGAGCAATGGCCGCTGCCTGCCCGTCCCACCCGCAGGCTGGTCCCGCTGGGGGAGGCAGAGGCCCAGGAAAGACGGCCCGCAGGGCCCCTCGTTGCCCCCCCCCCCCGCCCATGCGTGCTCAGACCCTTTCCCTGCGGCTGGCAGATTCATCTGGTGGAGCTGCTGGTGGCCCATGGAGCGGACCTCAACGGGAAGTCGGAGCTGGACGAGACCCCGCTTGGTGAGCAGAGCGAGCTGCCGTCGAGCCGGGGCCGCTGCGGCGGCATCGGCCTGCTCGGGCGCAAGCGGAGGAGCGCTCGTTCTCCCGGAGCCCGCCGGGCCCTTCCTGCCCCCACAGCCCCTCTGCACAGGGCAGTCTGCCGCCACCTATTGCCCCCCCCCCCCGAGTTCTTGCGCGCCAGCCGGTCCCCTTGGGCCCTCCTGACCGGCAGGAGCCGCTGCTCCGAGGACCTCGGCGGCCTCCCCTGCGAGGGGCTTCGGTCGGAAGCGGGCGCCTCTCTGGGCGCAGCTGTGGCCAAGGGCGGGCCGCAACAGCCGCGGGAGAGGGTGTGGGGCAGGCGGGCGGCGCTGACGTGCCTCTCCCCCCCCCCGCAGACGTGTGCGTGGACGAGGAGGTGCGCGCCAGGCTCCTGGAGCTGAAGCACAGGCACGACGCCATCCTGAAGTCCCACGACAAGCACAAGTCGCTGCTCCAGCGCCGCACCTCCAGCGCCGGCAGTCGGGGGTATGCCGGGGGCCGCACAGGGCCGGACCGGGGTGGCCCGTGGAGCGGCGGGGGGCGGGCCTCTTGCTGCGGGGGCCCGAGGCACAGGCCCTGGTGGGAGGTGTCCCCCGGGCGGCTGCGCCTGCGGCCGGTGCCTTCCGCCGCCACCCGCCACCAGCTCCGGTTCCCCCCGCAGGAAAGTGGTGCGGCGGGTCAGCCTGACCGAGCGCACCAACCGCCTCCGCAAGGAGCACGAGAAGGAGGCCATCGTCTGGCAGCAGGCGGAGCAGAGGGAGAGTGAGGCGGAGATGGAGGACGAGGACCGGCAGACGGATTCGGAGCTCCAGCTGCGCGTGGCGGTGCGGCCTGCCTGGCCCGACCGGGCCTCGGGGTGCTCCGCGGTCTGGCTGGGGGAGCGGGGGGGGGGGGAGCCGAGGCCCCGTCCCTTCTCCGTCCAGTCCATGTGCAGCGCGGCAGCCGCTCCCTGGCGGACGCCTCCTTGGCCGGCCCCTCTTGGCCTCGGTGACGGGGCCTTTCCTCAAGGGACGTGTGGGCTCCAGAGCGACCTGCCGCCTGAACCTGCGTTGAGCTTCAGCGCTTCAGAGATTTGGCCCCAAGCACATTTCTGTGTTGGCAGAATGCCTTTAATGGGTCAGCCAAAAGATCAGAAAACGTCTAGCACGCCCCGAGATCTCTTGCCTTTCCGAAAAAGCAGGTTGGTGGGCTGGGGGAAGGGAGAGGAAGGTCCGGCGTGCCACTGAAGTCATGGGGTCGCCTGAGTCCAGACGGAGTGCAGGAGGAGGCAGACGGCGGGCACGGAGGAGCTCGGCCACGGGGCAAGAGCCTGGCCCGCCACTCCCTGCCCGGAGGCCCACTGGGCCAGGCTGCCTCAGCTTCGGTTCCCGCACTGGTGGGGGCCGCTCTCAGGGCTGGCGAGGAATCCCTTCCCCTTTGGAGGCCGGAGATGAAGAAGGGGTTCCCTAGCAGGAGAGAGGCCAGGCTCGCAGGCGGGCGCGCAGCCCAGGGCTGCTGGGGTCAAGTCCGGCAGATAAGCTTGGTTCCCCGCTCTTATCTCGAAGCCCTGAGCAGACCGGGAATCTCACTGGTGGCGGCCAGATGGTTTGCGTGGGCCGACTGCCCGAGAGCCTCCTCGGCAGGCGGGCAGGACAGGGCTGTGTGGGGGCCCGTGACTGTGGTGCCTTGGGGTGGGGGCCCACGCGCTTGCGGCTCACCCGGATGCGGGGCCGGGAGCCAGGGCAGTGCGGACCTGTGGGGGCCGCCCTCACCCCCGCGCTCTCTTCCAGCAGGCCCCCGAAGCGGCGGAGGCGGCGGGGCCGGGGGAGCAGTTGTCGGAGCGCAACGGCACTGCCCACCCCAAGCACCTGTACTCCAAGCGGCTGGACCGCAGCGTCTCCTCCCAGCTGGCCACGCAGGATGACCCCTCGGTCCGCCTCAGCAAGGAGAAGGCCCGCCACACGCTGGCCGACCTGAAACGCCAGCGGGCGGCCGCCAAGCTGCAGCGGCACCACGCCGAGGACTTCCCGGCCAGCGCGGGCGAGCTGCCCCCGCCCGGCCCCGGACCCCATTCCGTGTGTTTCACGGTGGCCAGCGGGGATCCCCCGCTCCTGAAGCTGACCGCCCCGGCGGAGGAGATGCCGGCAGAGAAGACACGCTGCTGCAAGATGATGTGAGCCCGGGGGGCCCTCACCCCGGGGCCCCCAAAGCGAGGCCTTGTGGCGTCCCTCGCGCGCCACTCACGCCCTCGGCCGTCGGGGAGGCCGTTCCAGCCGGGTGCGAAATGCTAGCTCACCGCAGCGCCCGTGGCTGGCCAAGCTACGGTTCCCGCCAGCCAGTTTCTGTAGCTCTTTAGTGCGCTCCGGGGAAGGTCCTCTTGGGGGGCGTGTCTCAGTGCTCAGAAGGGGGGGCTGCTGGGCGAGGGGAGGCCCTGTGGCCGCTCGGCTGCCCCCGTGGGCTCAGCAATCTCAGGGAAGGGCAGGAGTGCCGATACCCCCGCCTGGCACAGCATCTGCTCCGGCGACGTCGAGCACGGGCGGAGGCAGGGCCAGTCCCGGTGCAGAGGGTGCCCCGTTTTTGAGCTCCTCCCTGCTCCCCTCTTCCCCAGAGCTGAGCAGGTGCGGAGAAGGGCGTGCTGGGACGGAGAAGCGGGCGACAGGGAGTCTGCACCGGCCCAGGGGCCGCCAGCCCGTCTGCTCTGGGGTGGCTTTCAGGGCGTGGGAGGTGCTTTCAGGCGTCCCTTCCCTCCACTGCCTGTGATGCGGCAGCTGGGACGCCCCCGAGACCAGCAGAAGGGGCCGCATGGCAAGCACTCCGGGCGGCCTGCCTTGACGCAGGAGAGCCGTCTCCTTGCCCGGTGGAGCGGGGGCATCGCGTGCTTCAGGGCCCCTGGGTTCTTCGGCTCTGGGGCCGCGCTCTGGTCCCCTTAGGGCGAGCTCTCGGAACGGTCCCCGGAGGAGCTTCCGCAGCGGGAGGGGACACGTTTTATGCAGTGGGGGCCCCTCGTGCAATCAGTGTTTCTCCCCCCCCCCCGCCCCCGACCTTCTCCCATGGCTTTGTAGACTCTGAATTTTGTATTCTCTTTTGCATAATCTTTTTCTTAAAAATTTGACAGTGTTTCCCCCTCAGATCTACCCCTTGTTTTTAATCCAAATGTTTTTCTTCTTATTGATGAGGCAATGAATTAGTGATCTCTTCCTTTGAGCACCCTCGTCAGCCCGTCGGGAAAGCCCCCAGCAGGGGTGGGTGTGGAAAGCTGCCCCATCCAACAAGGACCCCTTTGCGCTTGTGCGCACTGAACGTCCCCCACCCCCCCACGGGAGGCCCCCAGCTGTGCTGCGTGGCCTCGGGGGCGCTTCCTCCTACCCTTCCCTTCACCCTCCGAGCGGACAGGCCCTGGCCAGAAACGGCGCTGCCTCCCCTCCCTCTCCGGGTTGCCCGTCCCTCCGGCAGCCAGGGGACCGCGAGTGCCTTCTCCCGCTCCCAGCCGCACCCCTGGCACCCCTCGCAGGGGGCTCTGGCGAGCTGCGCACTCTCCCCCTCGAGGGGAGGCCGGTGGAGGCGATCAGCACGGGGCCCAGAGCATGAGGCCACTCACTGGGAATTCCGAGCCTTGGGATGAATGGGGGCCCCTTTGGCACCCCTGCCCACCCCTGCCCGCCTGGGGGTCCTTGGTGAATGGGGGCTGCCTTAATCCTTTCTGCCTTCGGCCAGTCCTGCTGTGGGCCGACTGCAGAACCACCGCCCCCCACCCCGGCCCAGTGGGGGGGTTTTCCTGGCAGGGAGGAGGGGGAGGTTTGGATCGACTTTTCTACGATTAAAAGTGTTTCTGGTAAAACGAGAGCAGAGCTGGAAGGGTGTCTGTCTGCATCGGACCAGTGGGGGAGGGCAGATGCCGTGCCAGTGCCCGGGACTCGGCATGCACCGTGGGGCAGGAGAAGCCCAGCGTGGGGTGCGCATCGCGAGCTACTTTTCCGGCGTCGCGAAGAGGGGCGGGTGCCTCTAGCACAGCAGAGGTGTGGCAAAACGGCACTCAGAGGAAATCCAGCATTTAGTCCCAGGTGGGGTTGCCCCAGCTTGATCTGAGATGTTAATATTGTGGAACCGATTGGAAGCAGAGTTACCTGGAAGGTTGTCATAGAGGCCCAACACAGTCATATTTGGCTGCAAGAGAGGAAACCTGTCTAAAGTGAGTGAACAGAGGTGAAGGGGGCATCCAGCGGGTTGAAGCCCTTCAGATGGCTCAGAGATTACTCGAAACCAAATAATGGTGGTGCAGAGAATGTGAGAAAATCCGATCACTCGGCACCAATCCGAGTGATCATCAGCAGGGTTAACACACAGAGGACGCTATTGGGGAGAAGAAGGCCTCCTTCAAGAAATCGGAATTGTGCGTGATTCAGAAAACGGAAGGGAACACACGCTTGCGCAGGAGATGTACAAGCAGATACAAAGCTCCTCAAGGGAGGCTTATTCCTAATGGCATTATTTTCAATGGAACTTTAGCCCTATATTAGGGTTAGCGGGGGGCCCAGGGTAGGGTTAGGGTTAGAAAAACTAGGTATCCTGGCATAGTTTTGATGGCTGGAATGTGTTTAGAATGGGGAGAAAGGATGAGCAGTGCAGAAAAACCCACTCAAAGGAGGCTTTTCAAAATCCCATTATTTTGAATGGCCTTTACCCCTATATTAGGGTTAGGGGTGTGCACCAGGGTAGGGTTAGGGTCAGGAAAACTAGTTGTCCTGGCATGGTTTTGATGGTTGGAACGTGTTTAGGGTAGGCAGAGATGATGAGCAGTGCAGAAAAAGCTGCTCGAGGAAGGCTTTTTCAGAATCGCCTTACTTTCAGTGGAACTTCAGCCCTATATTAGGGTTAGGGGTGTGCACCAGGGTAGGGTTAGGGTTAGAAAAACGAGGTGCCCTGGCATGTTTTTGATGGTTGAAATGTGTTTAGAAGGGGCAGAAATGATGAGCTGTTCCAAACACACTATTCTAGGAAGCCGTTGTCTAAATCGCCCCTTTGAATGGTATTTTACCCCTCTATTAGGGCTGGGCGTGCTCGCCAAGGCAGGGCAGGGCAGGGCAGGGCAGGGCAGGGCAGGGCAGGGCAGGGCGTGGTGGGGAGCCTCTGGCGCACGTGCCCACAGCGTTCACGCAGAGCCCTCTCTATCAGCGCATGAGCCACGTCGCCCCAGCGGCCGAGCATCGGACACCAGCACACATAGGGGCGCACACATGCTCAGACAGGAGTGGTGGCGCCAGGCGATGGTGCCACGAGCCAGGGCCCCCTAGTCGTGACTCGTCCAAGCTTTTGGACGGCCGGTCAGTGCGCTGCCAAGGATGGATAGGTTGGTAGATTGCTTGAACTGTGAGTTGTTTTTTCTAAACTAAAACATGCTTTCAGATTTTATTGCAGTGTTGGCACTTTGTGATAAATAAGTGGGTTTTGGGTTGCAGTTTGGGCACTCGGTCTCCGAAAGGTTCACCATCACTGCCCTACCCGGCCCCGGGTGGCCCCCCTTTCCTGTTGCAGTCGGGTGCAGAAACATTGCCTGGGTTCCCCCCTCTCTGCGTGTCGAGGTGGAGAGGGGACGCCGTGCAGTGGCCTTCGCATCAGAACAATGAATCCGCTCCCGGGAGCTTGTCCTTGGGGGCAACGGACCCTTTGCTGGTTCGCTCTGGGCACCGTTTTCCAAGCAGGGGCTTCCAGAGCTGGGCTTCGGCTTTCCGGCTCTGCTGGACGGCCTGACACTTTCAGTTCATGTGGGGCCTCTCGGTTCCATGGCAGGATACGGACACACCTCTGCCCCCCTCCGCCGCCACCTGCGCACCCAGGGCTTCCGTTGCAGTCCAGAGCATGCGGCGGGCACCCTTGGGAAGGCCGGCGCACGAATGTCCGCAGCAGTCCTGTGAAGTACAGGTCTTCTCCTGTTATTTCCACTCTGCAGCAGCCTCCGTCCCACGTCACCATTTCTAGAGGGACTCGCTGTGTCTCTTAAAGGACTCTTTGGAGGATGGGGAGCCTGTACATGCCCCCCCCCCCATTTCTCCTTCCTGTTCTCAGCACCCGAATTCTCCGGCTGCACACCAAAGTCTTGGGAGAAGCAGCAGAGCACGAGGTTGTGGGGGGCTCTTTCCAGGGGAGGCACAACGCGCCATCCCCATTGCCTGGGGTTGGCAGGAAGATGCAAGAGCCGAGCCGCGACCCGGAGCCGTGGCCAGGGCAGCGCATGGGTGAATCCCCCCCCCCCCGGTAGCTATTCTTGGCCAGGTCAGTGCAGCGGATCCGCCCATGCCTGCCAGGAGGGTGGCCCAGCCGGTGCCCCACAGGCGTGCCTGACCGGGGCAGCCCGTCCAGACCGGCTCAGTCATGTGCACAAGCTGTTCCTTCTGCAGAGTGCCGGAAAGGTCTTTGGCGGGAGGTCTCCTCGCTGCCCCAGAGCCCCCCCTGTGCAGAGCAGCAGCTGAGGAGGCGAGCGGCCACCTGGCAGACCCTGGTCCAGGCCTCCCCCTGCAGGAATTGGCCAAGCGCCTCCAGCCACCCTGACCCGCGCTGCACCCCAACCTGCAAGGCGGGCAGAAGGACAGCGGCCACCTGAAAGGGGCGGGGCTGAAAGCGCCTGGACCGTTTGTGTGACACGGGGGTCTCAGAAAGGCTGGGCGTGCCGCACCGTGCTCTCCTTTCCTGGAGGAATTCGGTGCGATCGCTTGCCACTGGACGCACTGGGATTCAAATTCCACGAAGCAGACACCCAGAGGGCGCCAACCAGCCAGGCGGCCCTGTCCGCAGCGGGATGCTCTGGAGCACTTCTGGGGAACCGGGAGTGGGGGCTGTCAGGGAGAAGTCGAGGCTGCGTTCCAGGCATGCCCAAGTGCTGCCGGCTGAAAGCTGCCAGTGCTGGAGTTTGAGGCTGCGCAGCATTGGCAGGAAGGGCCGCTTGGTTCCCGACCTCCCGGAGGGGGGGGTGGGCCGGCTGTGCTCAGCGGTGTTGCCTGGTCCAGCCAGAGCTGAGCTCTCCCGAGCCCTGGGGGTTTCAAGGAGAAGGCCGCTGGCACGTGCCCCCGCAGCTCTGCCACGGAAGCCGCTTTCGGCCTGCACTCCCTCTTGGGGGCAGATCTTGCGGGAGAAGACGAGGCAAAGTAGGAACTGGGCGCCTCCGCCTTTTCCTTGCCGTCTGTCATCGCTCTGCCATCCACTTCGGGAGGCCGGAAACCCTCCTCCGCCACATGTCTTTTGTCCTGGATGCACGTGAAGCAGGGCCCTCTCGAGCTCTTCGCACCGGCTCGCTTAGCCTTCCCGCTGCCTCCCCTGCAATCGCTGGCTTTCCGCTCCTGTTCCTCCTTTGCGCGCTGGCCCTGCCTCCACCCCCGAGCACGTTCCTTTTGCTGCCAGGTTGTCACTCAGCTCTTTGTGGAGCCCCGTGGGCTTGCTCTGCTTTCGTGCTGGAACTGTTCCAAGTTGTGCTTGGAGAATCTTTCTTCCAAATCTCCCTCCCCTCTTGGACTCCTTTCCCTTAAAGAGTGAGCTGGTCCGTGGCCTGGCCCAGCGGGGTTTTTCTCGCAGTCTTGTGCTCAAAGGAGCGCAATATTGGAGTCGGAGGGAACCCGCCTGGACGTGCGGGAGCCGCAGCAGAAAAGGTCCTGCTCTTGATCCCGTCATCCAATCGAGCGAAGTCTCACTGGCTGTGAGGGGCAGGGCAATGTTGTGAGGGGGTGGAGTGCCCCTTGAGGGCCAGGTGGCTCTGGGGTGCCCCCACCCCGATGGCCGCCCCTCACCAGGCCTCTCTGCCTCTGCGTGCCGAGGGAGGGGCGGTGGCTGCTCTCCAGTCAGTGCAGGACTCCTCTGGGAAAGCTCGCAGGCCGAGCCCCGCTTCCCGGGAAAGGCAGGCCTGCAGCCGCCCTGGGCTAAGCGAGGCCACGGCCGGGTCACGCGGGTCGCCCAGGCCCTGCACGCTCTCCGGGGGCTCCCCCCTTCCAAGCAGGCCAGGCCGGCAAGCCGTCGCGGGGCTCAGCGCGGCCCACGTGTGCGCGGGCTTGTGGGCCCTCTGCACCCAGCGGGGCGGCCTCATCACGGGTCGGGTCGGGTCATCAGCAAGGGCTGCGGAGCCTTCCCCGCAGCTCCCTGTGCTCTCGCTGGCCGCCCACCCCCCCGCCCCGGCCCCTCTGCTCGTGCACGTGAAGGGCCAGGCAGGCGAGGGAGTCCCAGGCTCAGCCCTTTCCCGGCTCTGCCGCCTGCCAGGAGCAGGTCCGGGCCCGGGAGCCTGCCCGCCTCTCCCTGCGGCTTCCCTGCTCTGCCTTGGCCTCGCCGCACTGCTCTGGCCTTTGCTTGCGCTTCGCTTCGTGACGGCACTCCCTGTAGCCCCCGTGCATCCCCTCATGTGACAGCTGGCAACGTGGGGAAGCGAGAAGCAGGAAGTCTTGCAGGGGGAGGGGAGGGGAGGGGAGCTAAGAGCCATTGGCAGTCCTGGGGGTGGGGTGGGGGCGTAGCAGGAGGCAGGGTCCTTTTCAAGGGTGTTCACTGGCTGGCAAGGGAGGCAGCGGAGTGAAAGAGCAGGAGGCGGGCGTGTGTGCGGGGGGCTCGCCCTCCTTGGCTGGGCCAAGACCCCCACCCAAAAAGGCGAAATAGGCAATCCGGTCCACTTGTTCCGCATCCACAGGGCTGAGCAGACCATTTCCTTCTTGTGCTCTGGTGTCGGAGGCTGGGGGGGAGGTGGGAGGGTGGCTCGCTGCACCAGAGGAGGTGTTATCTTGGGGGGAGACATTCTTCCCTCCATGCAACCTGAAGCAGCCTTTTAAAAAGGAGTTCTTGTCCCAGGGAAGGGCTGGAACAGTGGGGGAACCTGACCAGCACGTTGACAAGAAGGGACCATGAGCTG